AGAGACCTCCCTTGGTCTCGTGCCCGGCGCAATTTGAATTGCGCCCAGCGCCTCCCTTGGCAGAGACTCCCAATAGTCCCTACGCCGAGGGCGGCAAAAATCGCGCTTAATGCCAAACCAGAAAACCCCAAAGTCAGTATGCTACTGATATCGCGCCTGGCGCGGCTTGTTTCTCGCCCGGCGTGGGTCATCCAGAGGTTAACATTGCCAAGTCCGCCCAGCGCACACATCCCTGCGCCTAGCGGCCTGCCAAAATGCCATCCTCTGATGACCACGCGCCCGACGCGAAGAACTGCGCGCAGCGCGAATTCATCAGCAAACCACATATTTTCGAAATTTCTTCCACAACCTGCAAAATAATCAGCAAATTCCACATGCAATCGGTTCCAAAGACTACTTTTTCATTCTAGAGTCCAAAAACACCATTTTTTTCAACATGCAACATCAAATTCATCAAAAAGCCAAGATTTTGCCCAAGTCCCCCAAAACTCAAAATTTCAGATTTTCAGAAATTTCTCACAAGATCAGCAACTATCATCCATCTCAACAACTGAAAAACAAACAACAATGATTCTCATTCAAAAAGCCCAACTATACTAACTTCCCTTACCTTGAGCAAAGTCTTCCGAGTTTCCGAGAATAGGAGAACTAGAGTGAAGAAGGAAAGAACTTGAATAACCGTAGGGGAGAAAAGGAGGCTTTGCACAACAACTAGCAATCCAGATTGTTTTCACCACTACCTAGAATCAGCAAGGAAGGAAAAAGAGAGAGTGAGTAGGGAACGAAGGTTAGGCAAGGAAAAGGAAGAGAAGGGGAAGAGAAGGTTCACGGATCTCACACTCATCCCACACCATGCCAGGGTCACGCCCTCCCTGTAGCATCACTTACTCAGGTGCCGTGCCATCCCTGGTCATTGATGTAAGGTACCACGATCACAATCATAATCACATCCATACAACATCTCATCTCATAGCTCAATTCCATATCATATACACAATTCCATATACACAACAGATAAGTCTAACAAAATAAGGGTTTACACACCCCTCAAGAAATTCACATCTAGATCATCAATTCTTAACAAGTAATATAACAATTACATTCATAAATTAATATAATAATCAATGGAATTACCATTTTAATATAATTTTAACATAAACAATAAAATTCTCAATTATTCCAAAACCTAACTCACAGACACTTTTTTACAGTTTCGTTCTCTCTCTCAGATCATCATTCTTACAAATTAAATATGTATTTCTAATCCTCAACACATACAGAATCTAATGGGATCATCAATTTCTCAAACAGAAATATTCCAATTTTTCCAAAATCTAGCTTACAGGCACTTTTCTATAATTTCGTTCTCTCTCCCAGAGCATCATTTTTACAAATAAATTATATATTCATAATCCTAAATTCATACAGAATCAAGTAAGACCAATAATTCTCCAAATAGAAATAATTATAAAATTGCTCATAATCCTAAGGGATTCTTCCTCTACCCAATTCCCTCATGTAACTATACGTATAAATAATTTCATTTTCCCCCGTACCTGGATAAACAGCAGTTGAACTAAAACAGGAATCTCTTGGTCTCCTCCTCTAAATGCCCCTTAGTCTTCAGAGAGAAGAAGAGGAAAAGAAGAGAGAACATAAGATAATAGGAAGAGAGAATGAGAGATGTTCCAAAACAACCTCAGGCAACACTAATGCACCCTCTTCATGCATCCAAGCGCACTCAAGTCTCAACAATATTCTTACACAACTAAAACGTTCCTCGATAATAAATTCAGGAAACACATTAACACTTCACCTTAAAAAGAATTGCCCGATGCCTACAAAGTCCAGAAGACAGGCTGCCAATAGGAAGCACAACACACTTGTGAAAATTCCTCAACTTTTTACTAACCAACTTCCAGCGCTTATGGAGATCCCCTTGCTCCACCGGGAACTTACCACTTCACACATTCAAAATTCACAATAAGTAAAAAGGAAAAAATAAACACCAATATTAAAGCACTTCACACTCACTCGAAGAAGAAATACGTTGTACACAACATACTATATGCCAATATCTCATTCTTACCCCATATAAATGGCAACAAGTTTCCCTAGCTGTTCCACCAACACCAACGTATTCTCAGAAGCACAATACAACTCTTGCGCTTTATCCTGAAGCAGCTTCAAGCGAGAGTCCTCGTGTCTATCAACCAGCACCACCTCCATACAAGTCTCGCTGGGCTCAACCGCTTTAAGCGCCATCAAAGTAGGTATCCTTCTACCTTCCTCCACATCATTACACATCACCCACAGATACGGATTCATCCCCAATATGTTATAAAACCCATCAGATATCTTGTCCGTATACGATAAACACCCACTCACCTGCACAACCCAAAAAAATGTGAATCATAATAAAAATTAGACTTTTGCTTTGAATATAACCCAAATTAGATAAAACTTGACTACAGTTTCTTAAGAGACAACACAAAACTTGCATACAATTTGTTAAGTGGTATTCTCCTATCAGAATTAAAATTCCATTTCAATAATTTCCATATTAATGCAAACTTTTATTACTATCAAAGATGAAACTCAAATTCTTTCCATATTAATGCAAACCTTTATTGCTTCGAAGATGAAACTCAAATTCTGATTAATTTCCTTTCTTAGGTTCTAAGTTTTGTAGTAGAATTTTATTATTGTGATTTTTGGTCTTAACAATGAGGTGAGTTTTGTACCCATAGGCGATAAGAAACGGATTCGGCATCCCAGGTTTCGGTTCCTTGACTGAGAACCGGTTCGGTGACAAGGCTAGCCAAACATGTGAGCCTCTTCGCTAACGTGAGTTGCAAGATGTAGCTTTCTTTGGACTTCTTCGCCAACTTTTCCTTGCTTTGTTCCTCCTCCTCTACTCCCTCCTCATCCTTGTGCGCAGGGATAACAGTGAGCGCGCGAGACGACGAAGTTTCTTCCTTAATGTCGCTGGAAAACAAGCTCCCTGCATAGCTGCTCCCGCTCGAAAGCCTCGGCAGCGAAACCTGCCGATCGAAGCTCTGGTCGACGGCGCCATCCTTCTCCGGCGGAAGAAGGAGGTCGCGGTAGCCGTTGCAGTGGTGGTGGTGGCCAGAGTGGCTTACTTTCTTGTCGATGAGCCAGTCGCAGAAGGCGGCGATTGGCTTGTGCTTGGTCCGTAACTTGTCTCCGCCGCCGGCGAAGAGGTCGGAGACGGCGGAGTGGTTGTCGTCTTTGGTCGGAGTCGGAAGCGGCTTCTTCGGAGTGTCGCTATCGTGCTTGATGGAGTTGACGATCTTCTTTTTCTCGTGATCTAATAGCTGTTTCGAAGACTCATCCAAACCTCGCTCCGGAAACTGACGCGGGAAAAAGTACGTGGCTCTGTGAGGCATTTTCGCACACTCACGAGCCTCTCGCGCACTGCACTCACGTGCGAATCAAATCGCAAACTACTTTCACTTTCCCTCTTCTTCGCCGTTTTCCTTCTCCTTCTAACCTAAACCTCAATGCAAATATACTTACTCTACGTTCTTCTTCAACCGATGCCACTGTTAACCATGAACAATAATAATAATAATAATGATAATAATAGTAATATAGTAGTATAGTATGGAGAGTTAACTTGCACTCTACTCTTTCCGAATCAGAAAACCACGTTGGAAACCAAACGGCGATCGTGCACCTGAAAGTGGCGGATTCAAAAATTCAATGCGCGATTTCGTTCTAGTCGAACGTGGCGGTTTCTTTGGAGAGTAGGAATGAAACCGAACGACGCTGAATTCAGGAGCAGGAGATTGAGGAAGAGGCGAATGTGAAATATTGGTTGAGTTGTGACGTTGTTTGCGATTTTAGCAATAGCAGTAACAAGGATAGTTGTGGTTTTGGAGGGGAAAATGGAAATAATATAAAGTCCGTATGCTAACCTGCGCGGGGGATATGGTGCGCACCCTTGTTAGTAGAGTGACACGTAAATTTTATGACCAAACGAATCAAGACACGCAAGGGGTGCGCATGGGGTGTAACATAGTGCGCTATGAAGCCGCGGGTTTGTGTGTGGGAGCTGCGGGTTCTAAAATTGGGAGTCATGCACTCTCTTCAGTTAATCGGCCTCGAGATGAGAGATACTAATATAGTATCACGGAAAACCTCGCCTAAAGTAATTCATTTATTTTCAACCTAATATGAAGTATCACGGACTTTGTAAATCCTAATAGACTAAACTTCATTTGAATAATTTGCTAGTATTCATTTTTATTGTAGTATGTCTTCTTAATTACTCTAATGTTTGGTAAAGATAATTTAACATGGAAGAAAATGAATCGAAGTGAATTAAAGGAAATTTTAAAAAATAAATTATACGAAAAATATTTAAGAATAATTGTCACGAGTTAAAAGTAAGATTTACACTATTTTATTAAGAAAATGTTTGTGAAAAATATTTAATATTTTTTTCATTGAAAAGATTTCTGTGAAATTTAAAAGATATATAAAATTATAATATTTAAAAAATAATAATTCAAATCCCATTGTAAAAAAGGGTAAAATAGTAATTATAAATATTTATTTTATTTTATTTTTACATAATTTCACTTTGTCAAATAGTTATAAATTCTATTCTATTTCACTTTATTTCATGCTTATTTTTTATCAAATCAACTCTCATATGTTCTCTCTCATTCTTTTTTATTTTTCTTTCCCTCCTAATAATCTTGTTTAATCGTGTTATATTAGTAATTATTTGAAGTATGTATATTTAGATATATATTACATGTTACTATTGATTCAAATAAGTGATTGCAATTTGTCATTTTTAATCAAGTTGTAGAATTTGAATTTTAGTGTTGGGTAAAATATATAGGTTACGATGAGAAAAAGAATATATATATATATATATATATATATATTTATTTGAGTATTTATAATTTTGATAAAAATTAGCCATTATTTTTAATGGTACATATTTTATTAAAATATTATGATTATTTAAAAATATATATTATATTATTGATAAATAGTAATAATTTTTTTTAAAGTTTAATATATTGAAAACACTCCATCAAACTCTAAACATTGGAAAGAAAAAAAAAATGTATATTGGTCTCAAATATATACAAGTTTTAATTTATTTCATCTTATTTAATGTTATTTGTGACACCTTTACTACCCCAACACATATATTGTAACTTTACAAATAAATGTTTTAAAAAAAAGTAAAAGGGTTCACATGAGAAACTTCAAAAATCGTTCTTCAATAACCACAATAATAAAGATTTAGAAAATGAAATACAAGAGTTTACAAATTATTTTCAAAATGATATTTACAATTCCAAATCCATATAAAAATTCTGTTCTAAGAGTCCTCTACCCTAGGCATGGCAATCTAACCCGCCCACGTGGGTACCCGACCAAACCCGTCCCGATTTGGATGGGGAAAACCCATGTTTGTCGGGTTCGGGTTTTTCCCGATTGATACAATCGGGGGCGGGGGTGGGTGCGCCCTCCCTGTAGCATCACTTACCCAGGGACCGTGCCATCCCTGGTCATTGATGTGAGGCACCACAATCACAATCATAATCACATCCATACAACATCTCATTTCATAGCTCAATTTCATATCACATGCACAATTCCATATACACAATAGATAAGTCTAACAAAATAAGGGTTTACACACCCCTCAAGCAATCCATCAACCTTTGATAAGTAGCTCCCGCTTTCTTGAGGCTGAAAGGCATCACGCGATAGCAGAAGTTGGCTTGATCGATGATGAAGGCCGTGTGCTCCTCGTCTGGTGGGTACATCATGATCTGGTTGTATCCAGAGTACGCGTCCAAAAAGCTGAGGAGGGCATGGTCGGAGGCTCCGTCGACCAATCTATCGATGCTCGGTAAGGGGTACGCATCTTTCAGGCATGCTTTGTTCAGGTCGGTGTAATCGACGCACATGCGCCACTTCCCGGAGTTCTTTTTGACGAGTACTACGTTGGCTAGCCATGTGGTGTATCTGACTTCACGGATGAAGCCTGTGTTTATTAGCTTCTATGTCTCGGTGATGATGGCTTCTCGCCTCTCCCCTCCGACTTTTCTTTTCCTCTGAGTTACTAGCTTAGCTTCTTTGTGGATAGCTAGTCTGTGACAAATGAGGTTAGGGTCGATACCTGGCATGTCAGCACTTAACCATGCAAAAAGATCAGCGTTCTTGGAGATCTCAACTATGAGTTGTTATCATAGCTCTAGACTTAGCTGCTGACTTATCTTGGTGCATTGGCCGGGGAGTTTACCAATTTGAAGATCGACGAGCTCGTCAATTGGGCTTGGTCGGTTGTCATGGGACTTCGATCTAGGATCCAGGTCAATGATGTCAGCCTAGGTTATGTGAGCTACGGTGGGGGAGTCACCTCGGCGGTGCTCCTCTGCTGATGATGAAGCCTTTAAGCTTTCGGCATAGCATTATCGAGCTTTTCTTTGGTTTGCCTTGACCGAGATTATCTGGCCGTTACTTCCTGGGAACTTCATCTTCAGATGCGGGGTGGACACCACAGCTCCGAGTTGGTTTAACGTCAGTCGCCTATGATGATGTTGTATGATGTGTTGGCGTCGACGAGGAGGTATTTGACTAGGGTTCTTTTTGAATTGGTAGGGGTTGCAAATGTTGTTAGTAGCTCTATGTATCCCCGAGTGTGGACTCGTTCACCTACAAAACTGACTAGGGGTTCTGTGTGAGGTTGGATGAGAGAATAGGGGATGTCTAACCTTAGGAACGTCGGCCAGTACAAGACGTCTACTAAGCTTCCTTGGTCAATTAATGTCTTGTGGACCTCCCAATTAGCTACCTCCACCGCAATGACCATGGGGTCGTCCTAATTTGGGCAGATACTGACATAATCATCATCCGTGAAGGTGATAGGCGATGTATTGCATTGTGGAACCGAGGGGTCCACATGGACATTGTTGATGCATCACAAGTGTCTCTTGCGTGCTGAACTACTTGAGCCGCCCCCTGCAAAGCCACCTACAATTGTATTGATGACTCCGCGTAAGGGGGTCATACTTGTGGCATGACTTACCTCGACCTGCACTACTCCGTCGATGTTTGGCTGGGCTCCGAAGGGTTGGTATTTCTGGGCGTTGGAGCCCCGACCTCGTCCTCGGCCACAGTCGTGTCCATGGTAGCCCCCTATGGGATTGTGACCGTTGGACGTATTATCCGAGGTGCCCTCCTTGGACGAGTTCCTCAATGCGATCCTTGAGTGTCCGACATTCCTTGGTTGTGTAACCGTAATTTTTGTGGTATCAATAATGCTTGGATTTGTCAGCACTGTTGGGGCTGTGCCCAGGTGGTGGTAAGGTAATCAGGTCAGCATTACTAGCCATATATATATATATATATATATATATATATATCCCAACATCGTCAATCATTTTTATCTACTATAGTCGCGCCCAGCGCAGTACAACCAAAATGCACCAGAGGGCCATCTCGCCCGGTGCAAGCCTGTCCGCGCCCGGTGAGAATCACCCAGAGGGCTCAAGGCTCTCTCTCGCTTGGCGCAATAAATAATTACGCCCAGCGCCAGCCAAACAGAGACTCCTAGTAGTTTTTCGCCCCCGGCGCACCCAAACTCACGCCCAGCGCGGGGAAAATAGAGACCTCCCTTGGTCTCGTGCCCGGCACAATTTGAATTGCGCCCAGCGCCTCCCTTGGCAGAGACTCCCAGTAGTCCCTGCGCCGAGGGCGGCAAAAATCGCGCTTAGCGCCAAACCAGAAAACCCCAAGGTCAGTCTGCTACTGATATCGCGCCTGGCGCGGCTTGTTTCTCGCCCGGCGTGGGTCATCCAGAGGTTAACATTGCCAAGTCCGCCCAGCGCACACATCCCTGCGCCTAGCGGCCTGCCAAAATGCCATCCTCTGATGACCACGCGCCCGACGCGAAGAACTGCGCGCAGCGCGAATTCATCAGCAAACCACATATTTTCGAAATTTCTTCCACAACCTGCAAAATAATCAGCAAATTCCACATGCAATCGGTTCCAAAGACTACTTTTTCATTCTAGAGTCCAAAAACACCATTTTTTTCAACATGCAACATCAAATTCATCAAAAAGCCAAGATTTTGCCCAAGTCCCCCAAAACTCAAAATTTCAGATTTTCAGAAATTTCTCACAAGATCAGCAACTATCATCCATCTCAACAACTGAAAAACAAACAACAATGATTCTCATTCAAAAAGCCCAACTATACTAACTTCCCTTACCTTGAGCAAAGTCTTCCGAGTTTCCGAGAATAGGAGAACTAGAGTGAAGAAGGAAAGAACTTGAATAACCGTAGGGGAGAAAAGGAGGCTTTGCACAACAACTAGCAATCCAGATTGTTTTCACCACTACCTAGAATCAGCAAGGAAGGAAAAAGAGAGAGTGAGTAGGGAACGAGGGTTAGGCAAGGAAAAGGAAGAGAAGGGGAAGTGAAGGTTCACGAATCTCACATCCTCCCCAACAACAAAAGTTTTCGTCCCCGAAAACAGACTTACTTGGGAATAAAAACGGATACTGTTCCCTGCACTGTTGTTCCACCTCCCAAGTAGCCTCACCAGTAGCTGTATCCCACAGAACCTTTACCAGAGGTATAGACTTGCCTCTGAGCTCCTTCAACTGGTGATCAACTACAGCTACTGGCAACTTCTCAAAGGTCAGGTTCTCCTTCACTTGCACATCATCTAACTCCACCACATGGCTTGGGTCATGGACGTACTTCCTCAGCTGAGACACGTGGAATACATCGTGTAGGTTGGAAAGGGACGGCGGCAAAGCCAATCGATAAGCAACCGGGCCCACTCGTTGTATGATTTGATAGGGACCCACAAACCTAGGTGTCAATTTCCGTGCCCTCAATGCTCTGCCCACACCAGAAGTCGGAGTCACCTTCAGAAACACATGTTCCCCCTCCGCAAACTCCAAAGGCTTACGCCGTTTATCAGCATATGATTTCTGCCTACTCTGAGCAGTCTTCATCCTCTCCTGTATCAACTTCACCTTTTCAATAGTCTGTAGGATTAGCTCCGGTCCCACAACCACTGACTCACCATCCTGATACCAG